CCCTGCTTTTTCGCCCTTTTTGTTGTTGTGGTCGTACTGCTTCTTGGCCAACCTCTTGGCGCTGTCAAAGGTTTCAGGATTTGCGGCTATCACGTTTCCTTGAATTGGGGAGGTTAATACCCAGATGAATCGTTCGATCTTCTTTCCTTCCGAAGTAATCATGCCAGGGCACAACATAGACAGTTCACTAAACCTTGATATGTAGGCATCGATGTCGGAGTTTCGGACTGTGAGGTTCCATAACTCTTGCTCCATTTTCTAGAACTTCGCCACGTGGGCAGTATTCAGCCATCATCATTTTTTTCAATTCCGCCCATGGTATGGCATTAGCGACCGGAAGAGTCATAGCCTCCACATGCCCATTCCACCAGGTGAGAGCTTGATCAACAAATGTCCATGCTGCAAACTTCACCTTGAATTCTTCAGGGCATCCGCATATCTCGAACACCGATTCCACCTTTTCAATCCATCTTTTTAGGGTTATTACTCCCCCTGTGCCATTAAAGGTTCGCGGTTTGGCGTTAGTGAAATCTTTGTAGGAGCATGTCTTGGTAGGCCCCTGGTTCATTCCGTTGTTTGAACTTCCGGCCCCCTGTCCGTTGCCTCCACCATTGTTTCCATTGTGAAACTGCGCCAGCGCTGCTGTGACTGCAGCAGATACAGCCGCTTGAAATGCAACTGTGTTGATTTCTGGTGGCGGCGGTGGTTGATTGTTTCCACAGTTTGGTCTTTGCGGCATCTTGCTGTCATGAAACAGAAAGATGTTGAGTACACATCGTATTTAAGTTGGGAATTTCGTGAATCGATTGTGCATCTAAGTGGTTCCATAAATTTACATCAAATAATAAGAATATAAAACACATAGCAGATAACAATATCACGATAAAACACATAATATTTCCCACTAATAATATCCGCCTTTGATACATGAAAATTTGCCCGAAAGGGCATACATAAGGGTACAAAGTTTGGCAGCATAACGACTCTACGAGTAGTGTAATCACTTAAACATACAGTCGGCAATACATAACGTAGTGCGCATAAAAGAAACATAACACTAGCAGGGAGGTCTACTGATCCGGAGTGCTCCGAGATGTGTCGAGTGGTGGGGCTGATGACGTGGATACGCCCTGAAGACGCGCCACCTGTCGTTCTGTGGCTCGTAGTCGATCCTCCCAAATTGCTTCATGTACATGAAAGTTCTGGATTACTTCCTGAGTTTCTCTTTCCGCTCTTGCCACTGCGGCTCGCATCTGATTCAGTTGCTCGGCTGTGTCCTGGGCTAGGTCGCCAGTTTTCCGTAACCGTCTCACCATGACAGGAAGTGCTCGGTCAGCAGGTCCTCCATCCCTCAAGTCATAGAACTCACAGGCCATGCCAAATGGGGGTCGCTGTCCCTGTTGTCTACTCCATCTCCAAAATGTCGATACCCCAGGGAGGGGTAGGACCGTTAGGGCCCATTCGGTGAGTTGGCACCCTCACTGGGTATGGGGGTTGATCACTACAGAATTAGTGTCTGAATCATCGTCGCTGTCGTCACCAGACTATTCTTCTTCAATGTCTGCCACAGGTTCTGCAGGTCCCTCTTCGATTTCTTCTTCCGGTTCCTCTTCTTCCACGGGGTCCTCTTCGGGTTCCTCGTCGGATTCCTCTAGCCATCCGTTATTTCCCTGATTGGGAAGGTAGGGATCTCCAGGGTGGTGGAAACCAGCCATACCGACTGCACGAGGGTGAGTAAATAAATCACGTTTTGAATATTCCCCATAGTATATTTTTAGTTGTTTATGTTTTGGGTTCCCTAGAGTTTTGGAGAGTAAGGTAGGCTTTTGGATTCATTTTCCGCTATGATTACTCCCGAACACATGTTGGTCATATTCTAAATAGATATAGTTGATCAGGCTATATTTATCCTTAATATGACTACATAACTGCCCATGTTTAATCATAGTGTTCGATTTCCTCCAGAAGCTTTTGTTAGATTGTCATCCCAGTATGCGCACATAAGTATGAAATTTTATTTTTTGTTCAGAGTTATTTATTCCCGCTATGTTTATAGTTGCATATCATGTATGGTTAGATATGCTAGTTCACTATAAACAAAGCTCTGATACCAACTTGTCACACCCCCGAACCAGACGGCGGAAACGTTCGAGGGCTCGTGTGACTTAAACTGAAATATAATCACAATGAATATATATGAAACTAAACACATGCATCACCAACATTACATAGTACAACTGCCATTGTTCACATCCAGTACATTGTATAAATATTACATATTCATAACATGAATTGTTTGAAAGTCACAAAAACATAATATTCTAGCACACTTGATGATTTCTTTTCAGCTTATCTGTTACCTGAGAATACAAGTTATTTTGAAAACGGTCAACATATATAATGTTGGTGAGTTCATAAGCATGTTTGATATAAAAATAGTTTGTATTGTTTGTAAAACCCAGAAAATCCGATATTTTCTGTAACAAAAACTGTTTACGAAAAAGATGTGATGATCCCATCAGTGTATATGTATGTGATTTCAAAACATGTAAAAGTGAATGCCTTTCATAATTGTTCCTTGCATTGTAGTTGTTGTATGTAGAAGTGAATAATGTCGTTCCCCGAAAAACCCGATGTTTTTCCAATTTAAATAGTACGATAGTTTTGTATTATTGTATAAATCACTTTTGCATCGTCACAGTGTATGAATATGATTTCCCATGAATACTTAGATGGTAATGGATCTCTATGTGAGTCGTTATAAGCATGCATAATAATGACTAATTCGCCTGTCTTGGCATTTTTCCAAACGCCCGTTTTGATCAAGATTTTGTCACCCTAGACTGGCCGAGTCTAACTGTAGCGAACAGCTCAGGTGTGGGGGAGTCAGCCCCATATAGATCTATACACAAACTCTCGCTCTCCCTCCAGGAGTCTCTGATTATAACTACAGGCTACGGCCGACACTTATTGGTGCCACCCGTTATTTCTCACTAAATCCCAATGAAATTGAATAACATTGTTTTACAACCCGATTGATGTTTACGTTGATATAAAAGTAAGCCTAACAGACACGAAAGAAGACAACGGGGTCCACTAATTATGTATGTTATTATAGACTGTCGAGTATGCTACTGACACGTTATAGCCCATTAAGCATATGATGAACCTTTAGGGCCCTATTAGCGATACAAATGGGCCACTAAGGCCCAATAGCATGTTAAAGCTGATAAAGGCCCATTGGGCACGTAATTGGGTCACCAAGTCCCAATAAACATGTTTGAATATATTGGGCCCAATAATCATGAAATTGGGTCACAAAGGCCCAATAGCACGAACAGAAGATTTTTGGGCCCAATCATTGTATCATTTATCTGTTTATTGATTTTAAGTTCGTAGTGCAAGTTTTGTTGTATGTCAAATGTTTATTCTTGATGTTAAAAACACTTTGACGTTTGATTTACAACGAAGCTTTGGTTATGTATATATGTATATATATCCATAAACATTTTAAAAACCATGCGTTATAAATTTTATATTCTTGGCCCAATAATTTCAATATTATCCTATTTGACCCAAAAATATTGATTTTGACCAATTCAGCCACTTTATTAGTAAAAATGACACTTTTAGTCCCTTTTGATGAAAATTGACATTTTTATCCTTAAACCATTTTTCTTGACATTTTCAGCCCAAACATAATTCAAATAATAATTTCAGCCCAAAACTATTGTATTTGCCATTTCCAGCCCTTATTTGTAAAAAGTTTACACTTTTGACCCAAATTTCGTAAGTTTTACATTTTTGACCCCAAAATCCAAAACTTTGCATTTTTAGTCAAATTTTTGCATTAAAGTCATTTTCAGCCCTCGAAATAGTTTATTTATGTTTTAGACTCATATTTTGATAAACTTACAACTTCAGCCCCCAAAACTCTACCTTTTTCGCAATTTTGGGCCCAAAAACCCATAAGGCCCAAATGTAAGCCCAATAAACTAAAATTTATATTTTTGACCCCTTGAGAAGTATTCTTTCCATGAAAATCAGATTCTTTTTTGTAAATAATACTATTTTATCCTTATAAAACCGAAAATATCATATTTTACCCAAATCTTTGTTATTTTTGCAAAAATGACACTTATAAAGATTTTTGGCTTTGTTTTCACTTCTTAAGCCTAAAGACTCTTAGATCTTTGAAGTATGTTGTTTATTATGTTATTTGTTTATGTATCCTTCACACTTCAGCCATATATCTCGAGATATAACAAATAATATCACATTTTCACAACACAAACCAAAGAAATCACATATAACATGCAAACACACATAGATCAACACATAACACTTGTATTATCCCCCAAAAACAAGTAAAAACCGAAAACAAGGGGGTATGAACTCACCTTACTTACTTGTTCTCGGTTTTGAAGAAGAAATGGAAGAAGGTGATGTGGTTTTCGGCCTTAGACACTTCCTTGAAGAATGAGTTTTATGGTCCATTAGGGTTATTTTGTCAAATTGGGCCGTAAACTACCCTAAAGGCCCAATGGTTGAAGAATGAGTTTTATGGTCCATTAGGGCTAGGAGGAAGGAGGTAAACCATTGGGCCTTTAGGGTAGTTTACGGCCCAATTTGCATAAAAGAATGAGTTTTATGGTCCATTAGGGTTATTTTGTTTTGTTATGACCCAATAAGGCTTATTGGAGTACTTTATTCCATTTTAGGCCCAATATGGCCCAAAATGTCAAATCTCATGAAGGTGGGTTGAATTAGAGCCCAATTAAGGGTTCTAAGCCCAAACTAGTCAAATTGGAGACTTATTGGTCCATTAGGCCCAATAAGGAAATCCTAGTCCATAATGGACTTAAACCGGGATTTTTAGGGTTTCCAATCTTTCGTTGACCATTTGAAGTGTTTTTATAGAGTGTTTGATGGAATTTTGTTGTCATTGAATAAACATCATGCATTGCTTTCAAGTTTTGGTTACAATTTTGTCATTGTTAATGTTTACAAAAGCACAGAATTTTCCGGGTTGTGACAGTGTTTACGAAGGCTACATCGAAAGGGTTCATCCTAAAGAAGCACTCAAAGAGTGCTCAAGACGATCAACTAATCAGGATGTCCCCTCCCAAGCGGAAGCGTTCTAGTCATGAATTAAAAAGCTGAAGCCTGAATGATCTATCTGATCCTCCGGCTCCCGATGCTATAAGCTCTGAGCGTGCCTCGGAAGATCCTGTTACTACTGTTTTTCATGGATGTTTAATTGATCCGGACAGCGAGATTAAGCACGTGGAAGATGAGGCAGAGGTTCCTCATTCGGAAAAACCAGAATCGGAGACCATTACCGGAGGCCTCCCGGAGAAGGTCCCCGAGGATCCCCCTTTGGAGAAAGAAAACCCCAAGGGTTTGTCCGCTGCGGGTGTGTTTCAACAAAAACTCTTTGGGTCTGAACTTGGTCGCTTTATGGCACCAACCATCGACTCCTTGGTAGTTATTCCTATTCCCATTCCGTCCGATACCACAACTAGGAATGAAGAGCCTTTGGAAACAACATCTACAGATATGGAAGTCAGTATCCTGAATCCTCCCCCATTGACAAGTTGTATGTTCCCTTTCTCTCTTTGTCGATTTTTTCTTTTTTGTGTGTTTTAGATCCTTGTTGTGATTCACTTGCTTATTTATTACGCAACTACTTTTATTACAAGAAAAGAGGCCACGATGCCAACGCTGGTCACTCTTTCTTCTTCACTTCCCCAGTTGCAACATCCTTTTGCTATGACAAGTGTTCTCAAGAGCCCTTTTGAGACAGGGGTTGTGTCTGATGAAGAAGCGTTAGATAAGGCTCGATCGTGTTTGATGGAGGGAATGCACCTGTTGAATGAAGTGTATGCATGCACAAAGGCACATACATAGCATCTTTCTAAGCGTCAAATCATGTTTGAGGAAGCTTTGGAAGGGTTAAAGCAACTTCAGACTCTTCACGAGCAAACAGGAGAAGAAGATAAGGGTTGAAGGAAGAGGTAGCCGATTTGTTAAAGATAAACCAAAGTCTGGTGAAATATTTTAGTCAAGCCCTCGGTCAGCAGGAGGAGTTGAATAAGTTGAATCAGGATCTGTAACTAAAGTTGGACGATGCTGTGAGCCACCGTGTATCTGCCGTCAAAGAACTCGAGGGTATCTCTCAGCAGTACCATTCAATGAAGTCGCAATATACTGATAAGGTTTCTCAGTTGGAAATCGCCTGCTCTAGCAAATATGTGAGTATTAAATTGCTAGAGGAGGAGTTAGCCACGATGAAGCTCCTGATGTTGGAGAAAGATGCCCGAATTGCCACCTTGAGCGACTTACAACTTCTGATGGAGCTGAATGTAGCAAGTTACTAGACGGGAGCAGATCAAAAGGTTGAGGAGTTTCGATGGGTCATAAATGAAGGAATCCCCACCTTTGTTCGTGTTTTGTTGGATTGAAGCGACTTTGGTGCCGTGAATGCCGCCTAGCAGACATCCGCTATCCAGCTTGGCCTCCATCAAGCCTGTGTGGACATGAAAGAAAAGTACACCGAGGAGCTTAAAGGTAAGAATGTTCTATATTCATACCCAGATGCACAATGTCAAATTATGGAACGTTTTGCTGAGATGACAACATACAAGTACTCGCTAGTGTCTGCTCTGGAGAGTGAGGAGATGGATGTTGATGGTTTGAAGAAATTGCTGAAGATTGTGGATTCATCTGGGACAGATGAAGTTGGATCAGAGTAGGGATCGAGAATTGTGTTCCTTTTCATAGTGATTTGGACTTTTGAACTTGTAAGCGTAACTTTTATTTTTCCAATGTTGTGGGGTAGCTTTATTTCTTTTGTTAACTTGTAATGGTACTCTGTTAAATGACAATATGATGTTCCTCTATTTGCTCGAATCCTTTTTCTTCTTACATGTGTAATTGTAAGAGTTATTTGTGATTTCGATTGTTTTTCTATCAAAAATGGTTGGCTTCTAATTTTTTATTGACTAAAATGTTTGTCAGACTTTGAAATGCTCCCCCCGTTAACTCGAATACTATGCTTAGTATATGACTTGAACCACTGGGTTTGAAACTAAGTTTCGAGTAATTAGAATATTGAGCCATAAGTTGAAGGGTCATGACGGTGTTTGTAAGCTGCTTGAACCATTAGGTCTGAGCCAAAGGTTCAAGTAATAAGAACATCGAGCCATAATATTCAGGATTATGGAGATATTTGTAAGTTTCTCGAACAATTAGATCTGAGCCTAAGGATCGAGTAATAAGAACATCGAGCCATAACTTGGAGGATTATGGCGATGTTTGTAAGTTGCTCGAACCATTAGGTCTGAGCCTAAGGTTCGAGTAATAAGAACATCGAGCCATAATTTAGAGGATCATGGCAATGTTTGTAAGTTGCTCGAACCATTAGGTCTGAGCCTAAGGTTCAGGTGATAAGAACATCGAGCCGTAATTTGGAGGATTATGGCAATGTTTGTAAGTTTCTCGAACGATTAGGTCTGAGCCTAAGGTTCGAGTAATAAGAACATCGAGCCATAATTTGGAGGATTATGGCAATGTTTGTAAGTTGCTCGAACCATTAGGTCTGAGCCTAATGTTCGAGTAATAAGAACATCGAGCCATAATTTGGAGGATTATGGTGATGTTTGCAAGTTTCTCGAACCATTAGGTTTGAGCCTAAGGTTCGAGTAATAAGAACATCGAGCCATAATTTGGAGGATTATGGCGATGTTTGTAAGTTACTCGAACTATTAGGTCTGAGCCTAAGGTTCGAGTAATAAGAACATCGAGCCATAATTTTGAGGATTATGGCGATGTTTGCAAGTTTCTCGAACCATTAGGTCTGAGCCTAAGGTTCGAGTAATAAGAACATTGAGCCATAATTTGGAGGATTATGGTGATATTTGTAAGTTGCTCGGACCATTAGGTCTGAGCCTAAGGTTCGAGTTATAAGAATATCGAGCCATAATTTGGAGGATTATGGACATGTTTGCAAGTTCCTCAAAGCATTAGGTCGGAGCCTAAGGTTCGAGTAATAAGAATATCGAGCCATAATTTGGAGGATTATGGCGATGTTTGTAAGTTGCTCGAACCATTAGGTCTGAGCCTAAGGTTCGAGTAATAAGAACATCGAGCCATAATTTGGAGGATTATGGTGATGTTTGCAAGTTGCTCGAACCTTAGGCTCAAATATCGAGCGATAATTTGGAGGATTATGGCGATGTTTGTAAGTTGCTCGAACCATTAGGTCTGAGCCTAAGGTTCGAGTAATAAGAACATCGAGCCATAATTTGGAGGATTATGGCGATGTTTGCAAGTTGCTCGAACCATTAGGTATGAGCCTAAGGTTCGAGTAGTAAGAACATCGAGCCATAATTTGGAGGATTATGGCGATGTTTGTAAGTTGCTCGAACCATTAGATCTGAGCCTAGGGTTCAAGTAATAAGAACATCGAGCCATAATTTGGAGAATTATGGGGATGTTTGAAAGTTTCTCGAACCATTAGGTCTGAGACTAAGGTTCAAGTAATAAGGACATCGAGCCATAATTTGGAGGATTATGGTGATGTTTGTAGAATATGGACTTGACTATTCATAATCAAGAAAATTGAAAGGAATGAGAGACATCATTTCAGAATAAGTAATCGAGTTACGTCAAAAAGAACAATAAAGGTTCTGAATTCTAAAATGTCCTTGACGCTTGATTCCTTTTCCTCCGGTTATCTTGCAAATCACTTTCAAAAGTGGAATTTACGGAGTTACGCATGTTCCACATTCGTGGTAAGTGTGTCCCATCCAATGTTTCCAGGACATAAGCTCCACTGTGTCGAACTTCGACCACTCGATAGGGCCCTTCCAGTTTGGACCCATTTTTCCAATAAGTTCTTGTCTGCTCGCTTCGTTCTTACGAAGAATCAAATACCCTACTTTACACAATAATTTCTTTACCCTAGCATTATAGTATCGCTCCACCAGTGCCTTATAACTTGTGACATCCCCAAATTTCTCGGCCATAAAAGACCGATTTAGTTTATGCTTTTAAAATAAAATCAGAGTAATCTTTTTAAAATATGTTACGGAATTTGTCCCCAAAACAAAACATGATAAAAATTTATCAAAACATTTCTTAAAGAAATATATATTTTCATTATATATCAAAACCTCGGGATGTCATGTTCCGATACAGACCAAAAACATAAACAGTACATTATAAGCCTTACACCAGATATTTATATCTACTGGCCTATAATCCAAAAATCCCTCGTCATCGTCCAACTATGCTCTTGTTCCACTACTTGTAATATAAAAAGTTGAGTGGGTCAGGCTTGGGAGACTGGTGAGCATATAGGGTTTTCAACCCACAATAAATAAATTTATTATGTTTAAATTTCAAACAATCAACCAAATTTCCCATCCCCATTATCTTCTTTATTCATAAAGATCTTAAGAATCATCTGTCCTCCATTCATTCATTCCTAAGGATTATCCTAAGGAATAGGCACGAAGTCCATCGCTGCCCGAGATTTATACAACAAGCACTAAGTCCATAGCTGCCAAGGTACTAAATCCATAGCTACCAATATTCATCTATACGGTACTAAATCCATAGCTACCAACATCTATTCATTATTTTGAGGAATAGGCACGAAGTACATCGTCGCCAGGGTTAATACAACAGGCACTAAATCCATAGCTGCTACGGTTTATACAACAAGCACTAAGTCCATAGCTGAGGGTGCTCTATGTGGGGCGTAAGCCTTCGTACGTTGGGCGTAGGGTGATGCGTGGCATCAGACATGTCAATGGTACAAGATACGTGTCGCATGCGAGGAAGTAGGCAACGTGGCCAACTTCGGATCACACACACGAGTACGCTGGGCGTACTCTTGTACGCGGGGCGTACACAGATTTTCCAAACTTCAAAAATCCGTAACTTTCGTATACGAGCTCCGTTTTCAACGTTCTTTATATCCACATGTAGCTGAGACCATGCCCTACAACTTTCGTTTAGACTCTGTCGGCTAATTTTGAATTTATTTTTAAAGTTATATTTTTAACAGGCCGGGACAGGAAAAGTCTGTTAAAAATTCATAACTTCTTCATCCGACATCCGTTTTCGTCTGTCTTTTTACCGTTGAACTATTATCAACGAAATCTTCAATTTTCGTTTAGGTTGTTTCGGCTAAAAATCACTCGATCTATAATTCGAGTTTCGGGCTACATACTGCTAAGCCGAAACTTAGAAAAATCATAACTTCCTCATACGAAGTCAGATTTAGACATTCTTTTGATGCACGCTCCCGTTTTAACGAACACTACGACTTTCGTTTGGATGAAATTGCTAAAAATTACTTCATCGTAAATTTACTTTTTACGTCACACAGCGTCGTGTCAGTTCTGTCGTGAAACTTCGACAGGTCATAACTTCTTCGTTATAACTCGGATTTCGGTATTCTTTATATCTCCGAAATCCTTGTTTCAACCGCTACAACTTTATTCATAAATATCGGCCATATCTAAGATTTTACTTTCGACGCTTATTTTATCCATAATTTATTATATCATCATAATTCAATATAAGGCACATAAAGTCATATAATTCATTCTTATTACTTCAACACACATTACAATAGTTGACCTAGACTATAATGCTTGGCCCAGCAAGACGGGCGTTACAATTCTCTCCCCCTTAAAATGATTCTGTCCCCAGAATCATACATCAGCAAACAAGTGCGGATAGCGACTCATCTTGTCACTCTCTGTTTCCTAGGTGAGATTTGGCCCATTCATATGTTTCCATCGCACAAGCACTAAATCGACCATATTGCATCGCAACTTCTTAGTCTTATGGTCAACGATTGCCTCTGGTTCTTCGATTAACCTCTTGCTTTCATCCAACCTTAATTCAGAAATTGGAATTATGTCGGGAACTTCTCCCGTGCACTTCCTCAAATAACACACATGGAAGGTGTTATGAATATTATCCAGTTCTTCTGGCAGTTACAGCTTGACTCCCAATATTCTGAAGAACTTTAAACGGTCCAATAAACCTTGGACTCAACTTTCCCGAACCACGTAACATACTCATCTTATTCGGACTCGATTCGATATGACCTCTAGGGTCGGAATATCAATCATCTTCTTAGTCATTACCGAAAAAATGGTAACGACATACTTGAATAAAAACGAAGTCAATTAGTAGCTTCTTGGTAACCTTGTGACTTTCCCTGATCCAAGCGTGAGTCATGTGCTTCCAGTAGTATAGGCCTCTACTACCATTCACACATACTCATACTTGTCCCAAGTATTGTCTCGCAGTTCTCCAAGTCACCATACAAGAATTTGACATAGTCATTCAATACATCAGATAACAAAAACAGGGTTTATATTACTTCTTGAAACGATTACACAGAGGTTCAAGTTTATCCTATATTATGCCTCTAATAGGCTACATCACATGTTACTATTTACATTGTTACTTCATAACTTGTCTTCAGGTATCAAGTCTTTACTTCTAATTCCTAGCGTTGTTATTTGCTTCGTTGATGACCATGTGGATTGCCCTTGGCCTTGCTGCCTCGTTTTTCTTTAGGCAGTCTCTAGCAATGTGTCCTTCTTCCCTACATCCGTAACACACCCTCTTAGGAAACGTACACTCATCGGCATAATGCCCGATCTTTCCACACTTGAAATAAGTCACCTCCCTTCCAGAGTGTTTATTTTTGCACTTCCCGCACCAT